ATAGCCTGAGAGCTGGCGAGGAATTTTGGGAAGGTCCTTTGGGCAAGTTGAAATTGTGAAAAAATATAACTTCGTCAATTGGCGAATGCAGTCCCGCGAGTCTGACTGAACGTTTGCGGTTATTTTGTTACTGCGCAGTATATAACATTTGCAAAAAAAAATCCAAAAAAATGTTCTTTTGGCAACTTCATTTCTTTTTTATCTTTTAATTTAGTTTTTATATAATTCAAAAAAAAATAATCCCAGACTTTTTTGTCGGTTATAAAGTATTACCAAACCTCTCCAAAATATTTTTTTTTAGTTCCCAAAAAATATACCTTTGGCAATCTCAAATTCTAATCACGTGTTTATTGAGTAATTTTTAATAACACTTGCAAATCGCCAGACGAATTAAGCGGTTTTAAACAATTCCCAGACATGAATAAAGTTTAACAACTAATACGACAAAAAGTCTTATGCGTAGCCATAAGTGCGAGAAAGATAGCTTATCGAAGCATGCCGGCAGCGGATGGAGGCCTAAGCTCCTCGCGCTGTTATTAGCTACTTAGAAATATTTTTTGAAGATTTTAAGATTAAATTCTTGTTTTAGGATTTAGCGTATATGTATGCGCATATATGGACATGTAAATATCTATGTTTATAGTTAATATTTAGTTTTAGCCCAGTTTTAAGGGGCAGGACACATCATTTTCTTTCTTTACGCGGAATTAAGCAAATTAGTTAATAACAACCCCATTATAATGGATTTCCGCAAAGTAACGCCTGATTCTATTAATTGTAGTTCTAAGGCGAGGTCTCATCATAACTAACAAAACGAGCCCAAACTTGGATGTGTTTCGCTAAAAGCACGCAGGATTTATATATAAATATACTTACACGTCTTGGAGAATTCCTCGAGTATATTTATATATAAATCCTGCGTGCTTTTAGCGAAACACATCCAAGTTTGGGCTCGTTTTGTTAGTTATGATGAGACCTTGCCTTAGAACTACAATTAATAGAATCAGGCGTTACTTTGTGGAAATCCATTATAATGGGGTTGTTATAAACTAATTTGCCAAATTCCGCGTAAAGAAAGAAAATGATGTGTCCTGCCCCTTAAAACTGGGCTAAAACTAAATATTAACTATAAACAGATATTTACATGTCCATATGTCCGCATACATACACACTAAATCCTAAACAAGAATTTAATCTTAAAATCTTCAAAAAAAATATTTTTAAGTAACTAATCACAGCGCAAGGAGCTTAGGCCTCCATCCGCTGCCGGCATGCTTCGATAAACTATCTTTCTCGCACTTATGGCTACGCATAAGACATTTTGTCGTATTAGTTGGTAAACTTTATTCATGTCTGGGAATTGTTTAAAACCGCTAAATTCGTCTGGCGATTTGCAGGTGTTATTAAAAATTACTCAATAAACACTTGATTAAAATTTGAGATTGCCAAAAGTATATTTTTTGGGAACTAAAAAATATAGTTTTGGAGAGGTCTGGTAATACTTTAAAACCGACAAAAACGTCTGGGATAATTTTTTTTGAATTATATAAAAACTAAATTAAAAGATAAAAAAGAAATGAAGTTGCCAACAGAACATTTTTTTGGATTTTTTTTTTTTTGCAAATGTTATATACTACGCAGTAACAAAATAACCGCAAACGCACAGCCAGACTCGCGGGACTGGATTCGCCAATTGACGAAATTATATTTTTTCACAATTTCAACTTGCCCAAAGGACCTTCCCAAAATTCGTCGCCAGCTCTCAGTCTATCAGTTATTGAGTTTTTCTGTCACGAAATTCTCAATTGCAGCCCGGAAGATGGCGGTGTTTCAACCCCACATCACAGAATAACCCACATCTTTTGTATAATAAAGTACTCTGTGGCCATGCCTTTGATACCATCGCGTAAGCGCGAATATTCGCGTTATACTCGTAGCAATGTATGTGGCCGTCCCTTCGTGAATACTTCGTCACAAATCAAATAGGTTCAAATGTCAAATCAAACGGCTACATTTATTGCATACCTAAACGCAAACGTGGAGTTTTGGCGGGAAATTGACCGGCGGCGGTTTGCTGCTCCTGTATTATTGTTTAAATAATGGTTTGAAGTGGACTTTGATATGTAAAAGTGTTGCGATTTTGTGTATTAAGTGTCTACGCATGTGAACTATTAGTGGAAACAGTGAAACAAGTGCTCTGATGGTGATGGATTCTCAAGATAAGCTGTTTGTTTGCATAGGCACCTTTAGATACCATCGCCAACTATAAGCTGTCTGCTGGATCAAGTTGCCGCCAAAATCTCCCAAGAACTGCACAATGTGACGCATCAACATATTGTGAAGCAGTATACTATGAAGGAGTGGGGAAATTACAATAAACCGAATAAAAATACTTAAGACTTGGCCTAAAGATCTAGATACCAGGCCATAAACTCCAAAAAAAAAACGCAAACGTGTGGTTTTTTTTTATAGGAGAGGGGGCAAACGAGCATGCTGCTCACCTGATGGTAAGTGACTACCGCCGCCCATGAACAACTGCAACACCAGAGAGGGAATTGCAGATGCGTTGCCGGCCTTTTAAATTGTATTGTATGCCTAAGCGCAAGCGCGTAGGTATGTATTACATGCCTAAGCGCAAGCGCGCAGGTATATTCTACTAGCGCCTAAAAATCAAGATTCCAACGTTTTGTCGCATGAAATCGTATCACACAATCATATTGAACAAATAAATAATATAATAAATTAAAAGTAAAAAAAAAAAACTTAATGATTTCTTATATTTACGTGAACACTACACATTGAATAATACTATTTTTTACGGATTTTATCGCATTTAATTTACTATTTTAATTCCCGACATTTCGGGTGCTTTACAGCCCATGGTCACGGGGGGGACTGAGATGTTTGACGTCCCGATGTCACAGTTAGCCCGGCTACCTTCAGTTTTTTAATATTTATTAATTTTTGGTTCGATATACGCAAAATGAACTTCTATATCTATCTTATATATCCTGAAGTCCTGCAGCGATATGCTTGGGTTTGGATTTAATTTTGTTAATTAAAGGATCCAAAACAGATGGCAGCACCCATCCATCTTCTCTATTGTTTTTTTTTTTTTAATTTTAATAGCCTCGCGTATCATCTTGGTAATCATTATAAGTTGATAGTAAAAGTTTTAAAGGAAAAGTTTATTTTATTCTTTTTAGCGCATTTAAATAAAAGCTTGTTTTAAAAAAAGTTTATTTTTACTTTTAATTTATTTTTTACTTTTTAGTTATCGCTGGACAGGTTTCTCAGTCTGATCATCTTATTCAACGCATCATTGTTGGAAGGTCGTTGGTCGGTTAATTTCGAACAGTCTAGCTCTTCAATATGGAGACCTAATCATTGTACCCCACTTAAGGACACGTTTTAACAGTGGTAGCGCCACGCGGCAGCTTTTGCTGTCGCACGGATAGGCCGGCTTGAACCGGGATAGTACCACGACCTCATAGAAAACCAGTGTGAAGTAGAGGTTCACCTCTGCGTTTCGCTTAGTGAGTGCAGGTGGCCGGAGGCCCTTTTTACTGGAAATGAGGCATTCCATCTTAGTCCTCACGGATGACAACGCATCTCCATTTTGATTCGCAAACGAGGATAGATGTAGATGTCTATGGGCCGCAGCAACCACTTACCATCAGGTGGACTGTGTGCTTGTTTGTCACCCTTATCCTATAAAAAAAAAAACGTTTGCTTGACCAGCAGCGAAGAGCTTCAAACCTAAGTATAAAACGGCATGGTCGACAGTACTACCATGCATTTAGTGTACTGTGCAAGCCCAACATAATATAATTGGCAATATTCTTCGTTCTGCAGTGCCGTTACTAAATTTTGCTGGAAATTGTACAGTCTTGGGTTTAATGAGATGAACACCGTCTTTACCGAAATCTATACGGACGGATGGTATGTCAGTATCATACATTTGTGTTCTCTGGAAGCAAGGCCAATATGATTTCTGTAATATGTCACCATTCACCAGACCTTTGGACAGTCAAAGTTTACCAACCAATACTTCAGATTCGAGAAATTCGACCTCAATTCATAGTCGAGGACTCCAAAAGCCCCAGTACACCAACATTTCAGACGGATGGACATCATGTTACACCCTGATGCCACTCAGTCCTCGGCACGGACTCACCTTGACTCGGGTGTTTGGAGGAATGCACTACTTATTTCAGCTTAAAGCTTCCTTGTGCCTTACGAAACACAGTTCCAGGTTTGATTTTGGAGTTACCCTTCTCCTAGACAGGTTGCAAACCAATGCTGTTGAAGCCTATCTCGCTAAATTACACAAGTCAAAGTTAACCAACCGATTCTACAGACTCGAACAATTCGACCTCAATATCATTTTCGAGGACTGCAAAAACCCCAGTACACCAAAATTGCAGATGGATTGGAGCAACCGAATTTATGATCACCATTGTTTCGCTAAAAGGTTATGAATATCCACTATTTTATTGGGTGAGCGTATTTTTATTCTTTCCTTCACGTTGTTTTAGAATGCTATTTAAAAAAATTAGGTACAAAAATATATAACTATATCTGAAAAAACTGAAAAGGTTAATACTCTTTGTTTTTTGATAAATTTCCATAATTAAATAACGTATTAATTAATCAAAATTAAATTTCATCCAAAAACACAAGCCATAAATTCACAGACCAGTAATGTCCCCACATTACTGGTCTTTACTTACACTTACTGCAACATAATCAAAGCAAGGTGGTCGGCCCTTCCTTCACCAAGCCACTACTAGTACAGCTTAAAGATTATGGGAAATACTTTCAAGAAATGCACACCCCGTGCCGCCTATTTAAGTGTATAATCTATGCCTCAAGCATTCTTGGAAAAACCTTTGCCAAGCTATGGACTTAAAAGAAAATTAAGAAATAAATAGGGTATTGAAACTTCTCACGAAACTGCATTGTACGTGCTTATTATAATGAAAAATAAAACAGACAAAAACAAAAATATTGAGATTATTTATTAATCTATCCAATACATAAGCATATTAATAATTGTTACCTAACTTGTTAAAAGTTGTACTCACAGGGTACATGAACACAGCGCTTAAAAATAAAGTACCTAATACAGATTATATTATATGGAAAGTTATCGCCAACACAAATAATCTAACTTACAAGTTAGTATGGAATTATTATGTTAAATGCAAGTAATACATATTGTTTATGAACATGGAGATAATAATACATTATATTTTAAAATAGATGCTTTTCAGCCCTTATAATGTATCTTCCAATATTAATAAGAATCAAGAAAAAAATATCACACTCTTAAGTATTGCCATCATTAATTATATTAAAAATATCCAAAATAAGTTTTTACGTTTTAATTGAAAAAAATATACATAATTCACCACCTTTGAAAAAAATGTAAAAGGATTTTTTGTATAATTATATATTAAAGAAAATGCTTTGGTATCATTAGAAACTATGGACTTATTTAACAACATATATTTATAAAAATAAACAGTTAAAAATGCCTTAGAAAGAGATTCTAGTAGACTAATATGGCAAGCCGATATAAACCTAATGTTTAATTTCAATATTCAGAACAACTCTTTTTTTAAGTTTACATAATGAAATCAGATTTTTTTTATATGAACTTATTTTTATCAATTTAAATATTTCCAAATTAATTACGGTTGAAAAATTCATATTCACACTATGCTGATATCGAGCTCTGCTTTCTTACAACTGGCTTTATACGTTCTGACTACACTTAAAAGTTATAAACTATCATCCGTATAAAATAATTACGTAAAAAACTGTAAGTACTATCAATCACACTATATAATAGTATGTTATAGAACATGACAGGAATATCTTTATATATTATGAAAAATATGATTATATTTTTTATCAGCCTCAACAGAGATGTGTAAACCGTTTATCGGTTATAACTTATATATCTCAATGGAGGTAAGCCCGTTCTATATAATAATATGATAAATATTTGTAGAACTTACAAAGTAAAATACTATACCATATAGTACTAAACCTTAAAATGTGAATTAATCAGATTTGTTATCAAAAAACCATCAAAGATCATATAAAATCAACAATTGTTGTTCTACCTTCACTTATTTTTCATAAAAATAATTATATTTAAAATTCATCGTGCCTCACTAGAGCCTCTCCGAAGTCAGTAGCCTGACTGCCAACGAAAAGGTCGTATTTTTTCATTATTTCAGCTTTGGTCAGTTTCTCATCGGAGTCTGCGTCGGCCTCGAACACCAAGTGACGAGCCTCGGCCTCGGCGTGGTCGAAGTCGGGGGGCGCGATCCAGTCTTTCACTTCTGTCTCATCCATGAAGCCGTCCTTGTTTGTGTCCCTGCAGATATTATCACAGATTTATCTTCGGGCAGATTTCATCATCAGCAAAGTTAACATAAATAGCAAATAAACTAAATAAGTTTGTTGTTCATGTATATATCCATCTCTCAGTCTGTCAGAAGTGATGTTCCGTAAAATTATTTAAGGTAATAATTTTAAATTTAGCGCAAAGATGTTTTTGTACTGTGTAGCTCTGGTGGCAATTATGGTTAGCTTAGCTTTGGTGACATTTGGTTGTAATGTACATGTAAATAATAAATTTAAAATATATTAGTATCGATTATGAGTCGATTACTATTGCATTATTTCATTCTACTCTATTTTAGGTTACAAAATATTATCCAAATAAAAAATAATTTAAAATTAAAAATTTTCTACAACCGACTTCTATATAAATTATTAAAAATAACTATAAAACGATTGTTACACTTTGATCAAATTTATATGGGACCTTCTCATGTGGAAGCACCTTCTCATGTGGTCCCATATAAATTTGACAGCTTTTACAGCTTTCAAATAAAAAAAGAATCATCGAAATCGGTTCACCCAGTAAAAAGTTATGAAGTGGAAAATAAACATACAGTCGAATTGAGTACAGTCTTCTTTTTGAAGTCTGTAGAAAACAATGCAATTGCAGTTATACAATTGGTAAAAAATTTCCACTAGAAATACACAATTACCATAAAGTCTGTAATGGTTCAATTACAGAAGGTTGAATTTTGATTCTGGGATAAAATATTGGAAGAGCCGGCAATAGTGGTAGGATTAAAGGACTATACACACTTTTAAATATTTATTAATATAAAATTGGTTGCCAAAGAAACAGTTTGCGTGTGTCAAGAAGTTGCGCTTTTTTTCATCTATATTTCTTTATTAGCTGATACCCGCGACTTCGTCTGCGTTGCTTAAAAACTTACTGAATACGTAGTTCTTATAAAAATCGTTATTTCTTAAAACTTTAATAACTTTATATTAAATGAAGATATCGCAATAATTTGTTTTTTTTTTTAGATAACGGCCAAATGTCAATGAAACAAAAGCTAGAAAACCTATTTGAAATATATCCAGTAGTGTTTCCGTGATGCGGACACAACTGCAAACATCTATCATTTTATTTATATATAAATAAATAAATTCGTCTTAGACAGCAGTATAATGATAAGTTACCTGTAGCCAGTGAACTGTTCTCGTTCCTGCTTCACCCAGTCAGGCTCCTCTTCATCTTCGTCGTCCTCTGGCTTGTACATATCTCCGATGTATTCTTCTACGGAGACCTTGCCATCCTACAACAAATTTAAATAACTACATAAATAAACATATACACTTACGTCTGTCACCCAGAGGGGTAGGCAGAGACTATGGACTTTTATTTGACACAATGCTGACACACCTCTCACTTCTTTCACATCTATATTCCTATGCATGCATGCTTTTCAGTTAATATATCACCAAATTGATGAAATATTGAAGATGGGGGCCACAGGTTCGAATCCCGCACGGAACAAGTATTTGTATGGCTGGATGTTTGTCCCTGTGCAATTTATTTTTGTAAACTGCCTCTATGATACAGGAGCAAATCCTAGTGTGGAGGTAACGTTTTAAAAAAAATCATTCATTTTGCAGAATTAATTCAGCTTACCAAATCCACAACTGAACATAAGTCCTCCCATATATTGCCTCATAAAGGGATATTTGCCATAGTTGTCACCCTCAGCTGGCAGGTAGCCGGGCAAATTTCATTACTTTGATTTGATATCGTGAAGATTCTGCTGCTTCCCGTTTCCTGTATTCAGTTCCTCTCTATCATCTCTAACAACATCCACAGCAAGAGGGGGTAGTGGATTCTCCTACACCGCCACTATGCAGCACAAGTTTTCATAAAGTTCACAGTTAATAATAGGATTGACATAATTTTAAGGAGATTTCAGTGTAGAAAGAAACAGAGCATGCAAGGGTTTATTAAATGCAGCTAATTATTGCTTAAATTAACTTCTTAATAATTTTTGAATAGACTGTGCACGCGCATTTACCTTGTCCTTATCGATGTCCTCCATTGTTTCAAGAACAACCACATCCCTCATACCGGAATGGTCTTCTGGATGCAAGAAGTATGCAAATTCAGTTCTGTTGAGAGCGTCATCTTGGTCTCCATCTACGAAATAGTAAAAAAATTATGCTATAAAATGTTGCCTGTCAGATCACATTTTTATTATATGATAAGGGTGACAAAGGAGCACACAGCCCACCTGATGGTAAGTAGTTGCTGTGACCCATAGACATCTACATCTATCCTCGTTTGCGAATCAAAATGCAGATGCGTTATCAGCCGTGACGACTAAGATGGAATGTCCCGTATCCAGTAAAAAAGGTTTCCGGTTCTCTACACTCACCATACGAAACACAGCAGTGTTAAGCTGCTATTTTACGCTGGTATTCTGTGAGAGCGTGGTCCTTACCCGGTTGAGGCGACTCATTCGTGCTACAACTATACTACTAATATACCTGCAGCATGGCTTTACCACATAGCTTATGAGCACCTGCAAACAACTTTAAACAAAGAAGGCTACAAATGCATTGTCACTTCCGAAGACTAAAATGGAATGCCCATTTAGCCTTTCGGAACACAGGAGTGCAGTCATTGCTGCTTGATGGCAGATGGTGATGGGGTGGTACCTATCCATACTGACTTTTATTTTTAATTTTATAAGCCAGTGCTAAGTACTATCCCTATCCGATGATATGTGATGATGCAGCTAAAGAGTGCACTGACTTAGCTTAACATAGCTTAGCCTCTTTACTCTTGCCTTGAAGACACCTACATTGTAATGAGGGTTAATAATCTTCCACTCACCAGATGCCGCTAGCCGACACTGGGCAAAGTTTTTTGTTACACAATGTTAATTGTTAATTGAGATGTTGGTTTTAAATAAATGTTTATCAGTTTTTAGAGTATTATATTAAAACACAAAACAATAACCCAATGGTTTGCTCTTTAATTTTTTGCACATATTTAACTCTTTTTTTTTATGAACATCTGTGGTTCGGTTTATTTATTTTTAATCTATTTAATATAAAATATAACTAATAATACATAATACAGAAAGAAACATTAACCTTTACATTTTTTGAACAAATTAACTTTCCCGCTATGAAATCTGTCAAATATTACACTTCATTTGTAAGTAGCACTGCTCTGGTGACAGAAAAAGTCACGGATGTCCGCATTGGAAGGAAAGACAGATCGCCTAGGCGTGGTGATCACGGAAAATCTTCCCTACAAGTATAGTCCCCATCTCCAATGGTGGACTTACATATTCAGGTGAAAATGAAATTTGAAAAAAGTTTGAACTTACCAGCATAGTGCCATCTCCTGCGATCTCTTTTCAACAGGTTAGAGTAAGTGAATCCTTCGCTGTAAGGGGCGTTTAACTCTTTTTCGTTCATATCATCCATAAATCCGTAAACATTCTTTCTGTATGTCTGTAAGCATGAAAATTATAAAGTGGTCAAATTAAAAATGTTGTACAACCGACTTCAATATAAACTATTAAGGTTAACTCAAAAACTACTGGTCATACTTTGATCAAATCGCACAATACACATTGTCGCATCGCGACATTGGGAATACATAAGAAAAATAAAATTCAAATAAAAATAGGATCAAAATAGGTTAATAATTCTGGTAATAGTTGCTCTAATGTAAATATGCCGATAGATAAAAGTATTCCATTAATATTGGCAATTTTTTTAGCTAAAACGATTGAACTAAATGAGCGAGGAGTGTATCGCGCGGCTCAGACGCGTGATATACGCGGGTTGAAACCACGGGGCACGGCTAGTATGTAAATATAAACTTTCGGATATGGACACCGTGCAGTCGTCCTGTGGGTGTCGTAAGAGTAGAGGGTCTGAACCAGGAGATGAGCAGTAGCATATTCTTGATGAGAACTGAAAATAAAACGCGGTTGCCAACCCGCCTGCCAAGCATGGCAACTATAGCAAAATCCCCCCTGTATGGCAATCTATGGGGGAGGCCTATGTTTGGCAATGGACTTTTATAGCCTGTAATGGAGTTTTCATGTATACAGTTTCAGTAATATAATTAGATTAGAAAAGTCAAAAGCAATCTCTTTTCATTTTCTGCCGACTTCCAAAAAGGAGACTGTACTCAATTCGACTGTATGTTTTTTTATGTTTGTTACCTCATAACTTTTTACTAGGTGAACCGATTTGGATGATTCTTTTTTATTTGAAAGCTGGTACTTCTCGTGTGGTCCCATATGAATTTGATCAAGGTCAGACCAATAGTTTTTGAGTTATTCTTAATAACTCATATTGAAGTCGGCTGTACAAAATTTTTAATTTTAAATTTTCTTTGTATTGTGTCTATGTATTTCGAACCAAAAATAAAAATTGGGATGGCCCTCTTCAAATCTATTGCAGTTTTAATATTATAAAGTTCCTCTGACTGTATAAGGAATGGCAAAAATAGCTAAATAAGTAAAATATTTTATATGAAATTAAATTTTCATGGCAGGTCTTGAATAATTTTATATGCACACTGAAAAAGCAGCAAGGATAATCTAAACCTTGCGACTGTGTACATTCAACAGCTAAGTAATAAAACATGAATAAAACCAATTGTAGATCCAGTATTCTAAATTTTAATGTAAATTGAACTGTATATGCATTTACTTAAAGTTTATATTTGAATATTAGACGTCACCAAGTGTTACACCTCATAAAGTTGCTTGACCTACTTAAGTTTAATATTTTAGTGCAAAACAGTTTGACCGAGTTATCGGTCAAACTGTGTCTTTTCTCATAACACAGTGTGCAAATAAGTTCTAAAGTCAGATATGCAGGCTGCAGCGACACATATGCTCATATATATATACGGTTCATAATCCCGCGGTAATCAGACAAATGTTTTCCAAGGTGGATGTCGATTTATCAAATTTGTTGGTCTACAGAGTACTGCCACAGCCCCCTGAACTTTTTGAAAAAGAGTACCTTGTAATCCGACAAATCACATATCTATACTAATATTATAAAGAAGTAAAGTTTGTAAGTTTGTGAGTTTGTTTGTAGGAAGTAATCTCTAGAACTACTGAACTGATTTAAAAAATTCTTTCACCAGTAGAAAGCTACATTATTTCTGAGTGACATAGGCTACATTTTGATTAATAATATTTTTTAATGTGAAATAACAATATTCGTCAATCAATTCCGAAAATAAATCCTAAACACTCAGTACTAAGAACCACACAAGATAATTTCATCACAAGTAAAAATATTCGACGCCCAACAAAGTAGGCACGGGCCAGCTAGTCAAATATAAAACAAAAATAAAAAAGACACGTGATGCACAATGAATACCAAAAAAAATAAATAATGAATTCCTGCTAGGCCGCTGCCACAGTCACATTTAAACTAAGAACATACGCATCTATCCAGACGCGTGGTGGCGTGGCGCGAAATAATTGAAACGTGTTTGTCCACGTATTCGTCAAGGATCGATTGTACCCTAACATGTTAATGGCATGTCGGATTACAAGGAGTGCAGACTAGACAGAGGCCAGATTACCGGGGTTCCACTTTTACACTATTATGTCACAGGGTACAGGCATTGAGGATCATCATTATCATCTTTCTCAATGAAATTTTTAAAGAGTCCGCCGAAATTACCCATTGCATGTTGGCAGAATCCACGTGTCCTCAAAATACTTTTAATTTCTCAGAAATTAATTCGTGTGCCGCCGAGCGCGTGTTAACCTCGATAGTTATAATCGTAATTTTCTATATCAATAGTGCCAACGGTTATCTCCGTTTGCTCATGTATTATAAAACACTACTAGTCTTTAATTTTTTAACACGCTTTAAGCTACCACAACTCTAATTTTAAAAAGAATAGCAAATAATGTGATTAATGAGTATTACTTATAAGCTTGTGCAAATTTCATTAGAATCTGTCCATTCAAGTGCGATTGTAGGACAATAACGATGATCCTCCCCGGCTTCGCATGGTCAATTTCTGGATCTCGACAAAAACGCCACATATGGGGTCTAATTAGGAATCTAAACCATTCTCTAATAAACTTAATCACACATACAAAATTTCATCAAAATCGATCAGATTCGACCGAAGAATTATATAATATACTAGCTGTTCCCGAGACTCCGCCCGCGTGTAATTTAGGGTTAAATTTTTTTTGTGTATGGAACCCTAATTATTTTTCTAAAATAAAAGTTCAGTGAAAGTTCCGTCAAAATCGGTCCAGCCGTTTCAGAGATTAGCCGGAACAAACAAACAGACAAGACAGACAGACAGAACAGACAGACAAAAATTTTAAAGTGTATTTTTGTTATAAGTACCGTTTATACTTTCATATGCATTTAATAAAGTAAAAGCAATTTTGATATTACAAACAGACTAAAATTGTTGCCTGTCTGTTTCTGTTTGTGCCGGTTTATCACAGAAACGGCTGGACCGATCTCGATAGGACTTTCACTGGAATTTGTTTTATACTATGTATCAGACATAACCAAACTACACGAGTTGTGTAATTAATATTCCAATCATACCTCCCATGGAAGGAGCTCAGCATTATCAGGATTATGTTGCTTCCAATGTCTGTCCACATCCTCCTCAATGTACCGCTTCTGTGTGTAACGGATCCAGTCTTTCAGTTCAACCAGAGTCACAAATCCATCATTGTCTGCATCAATCTTGTCAACGATAATTCTAGAAAGATAAAAAAACATGCACGATTAAAACAGATAAGTGGGTCACTGACCCAACAATAAAGTTATGACATTATCACTGTGTAATCATAATGTGGCCTACATAATTTAAACCTTGTTCACTTAGATAACATTCTTTATCAAAAAAGAAGGATATACTATAAATGTCACACACACATTTTTAAAAGCATGTCTGCATCGAACTTTATAACCATCTAAATAGCTTAATTATTAACATTATAAGTTACAAAAACTGCCAAAAAGAAGAAGTTCATATATTGTTTATCTGTTTTTAAATCAATTATTTTTTAATCAAGGGTAATTCAAAATATCTTGATAATATAGAGAAATCTATGGAGAATCTTTGTATGATTGTTTTTTATAAAAGATGGGTAGGTCTGAAGCTGTTGCAGTTTACAGTATCGCTCACAGATCTGTGCTATATTATATCCTGTATTATATATTATTTTAAATGAATGAAGACACATGAGCACTAAAACATGTTTTGAATTGGACACCCTATTCGGTATATCAAAGAGCATCTTCAGTTGCACAAACTATTAATCTGTGTTAGTCATCAAATTCATTGATTACATGCCACGTGTTACATGTTGAATAAAACTACTTTTACAGATTTTAATGTGTTAAATAAACTTATTTATCTTACTTTTATTTATTCCTGACGTTTCGGATGCCTTTCAGGATGCCAATCCGTAGAAGTAGTTTTATTCAATGTGTATTGTTTGCGTAAATATAAGAAATCATTACATGTTACATGATTAAAATTTCAATACCTTTAATTGCTTTATTTATTTTTCAGCTATAAGGGCAAGCAATAAGTTGACAAAGTTTTACCACAATCTGATTAATAGTATGGCAGCTCATAAAACATGATCTATATAAATTATAACCAACACCTTGCAAGAAGAAAGCGAGTTATTGTCTTCGGCGACTTTAATCTAAACCTACTTACTAACGACAAACACGTAAATAGAATAGAATAATTTTATATTCAATATCGATTATTACATAATTCTTATTAAAAGTAATTTTTTCTTTTACCACTGGTTCAGAAAAAACTCTGTCCTGGGAAGAACTAGCCAAAAACCCAACGGGACTTTATTTTCAAAGTAAAATTATATGCTAGGAACACAGATTGTCAAACTGCTTACAAAAGTTATCTACGAAATAGCTTAGAAGCCACCACTTCATTCCCAGGATTCTATTATCAAACTTGTATTAATTTATTTAATATATATAGTTTTTTTAGGGTTCCATACCAGAAGGGTAACCAACAGGACTCTATTACTAAGCCTCCTCTGTTCCTCAGTCTATCTGTCAGCAGGCTGTATGTATGATTTGTGATAGGTAGACAGTTGAAATTTTCACAGAATGTGTATTTGTTTTGTTAAAATTTATGAGAGCTCTCCTACTAGAAACATGTTTTTACATACACAGTATTAAATCTTGAATGTTAGTACGAAACATTTGTTTTTTTATTTCATAGTGAGATTTAGTATATTTTCTGGGACTTTGTTATACAACCGTACATATTATAACCCCATGAATGAATTAACTCATTATGTGAAGTTGAGAAACTGGTATCACTAGCTTGTGCTTATTCCTGGTGATAACAGATTGTATATCACTCTTTTTATTAAAACTCTTTTTGTTTTTGTAAAGATACACAAAACTTTAGTAAATATATTGAGTTAGAGAGGCCAAAGTGAATATATTTTTTTTTCTTTGAGGGACTCTCACATTTAGAAATCAAATGAAAAAGCAAAGTTGTTGCTACATGCTATCATCTTGTTATTGTTTCCTTAAACTCACCCTAGTCTTCTCTTGCTCTCCTCAGGCGGCAACTGATCAAAAGTCTTAGCCTGATCCTCTCCTAAGAAAGCGTCGTGGTCAAACTTCTTATTGTGATGCTCATTTTTAAAATGTTCTTGGTCAGAAAGATGATCCATCAGCCGCTTAGATTCTTCGGGGTTTGGCACGCCCGCAAAAACGGCTGATATGGCCAAAACTACAAACAGAGTCGTCAGCATTTTGGCTGTAAGATCAAATAACAAATAGTTAAAATAACTTCCTCTTATTAAAGGTTTATACAACAAATTCAAAGAAGTAAACGACCAAAACTTACTGGTAAAGTTGAACGTTGTTTCTAGACCAAAGTGGTAATTACCGTAAATCTAATTTCAGTTCAACAACCCGCTTGCCGATAAAATAAAACTGACCGCCACGTCAATATACAACACGTCAAACTTCCTGATCCTGCCGCAATCACAGAACATAGATTGATAAAATGTAGATTCGATAACGTTCCTGATATTCCCGAATAGGGAATAGAATAGGGATGTTGTGTCAACTGTCGAAGCTAAACGTAGCGGTTATATTCTCTTTGGTCGTAAACGTAGTGATTATATTCTCTTTGTTTGGTCGAGGCTCGATGCAAAGATCAAAAAGTACTCTGTGACAAAGACTAAAATATACCTATTATATTTAATCACTACCACAAACTAATAAGAAGTGCTAGCGCAAATGTAGCGCAATCACTACTTATTCTTCTTCTTAATAACTGGCTTTACAGCTCTGGGATCTAGCCCTACTGAGCCTGAAGTTACAATTATTATTATAATAATTATCCTTCATAGTATACTGCTTCACAATATGTTGATGCGTCACATTGTACAGCCCTTGGGAGATTTTGACAGCCACTTGAGCCAGCAGACAGCTGATGGTTGGCCATGGTATCTCATGGCGCCTAAACAAACAGACACCTTATTTTGAAAATCACATCACCATCAGAGCACTTGTTTCACAGTTTTCACTAATAGTTCACATGCGTAGTTACACACACAGTTCACACTTAATACATAAAATCGCACCACTTTTACATATCAAAGTCCACCTCAAACCATTACTTAAACAATAATGCAGGAGCAGCAAACCACCGCCGGTCAAGTTCCCGCCAAAACCCCGCAATCACTACGTTTAGCTAAGGCCAAAGAGAATATAATCACTACGTTCAGCATAGGAAAAAATATCGATGCATCCAAATAGCGATATTTTCGCATTAAATTAAAAAATATTTATTGTCGATGTTTTTAATCGTGATATATCGATATTTATTTAAAAGAATCAAATTCGTATCAATTTCAATATATTTTAAAATGTTGTATTTATCGAAAAAACAGTAAGCAACAAAAGGAGTTAAAAGCATTTATGTGCTGTTGTCGTTCCTTCGTCCAACCGTCCAGTAATTAAATATTGGGCCTTAATCTGCTACATCATGCAAAACATGACGATAAATCAATATTTATCATGCAATATTTATCGATACTCTTCGATAGTTTAAAAATATCGATTCGATACATATCGATATATTTTATTTCCTTGGGCATCCCTAGTTTATCTCATGCACCATAGATATCGTTTACATTATGGCGCCTCTTCACGTTGGCCTACACAGTGGCGAATGTGTTGGCAGAGTTATTGGCCAAGAAATTGTGATCACGTCTAAACGTTGGAAGGTCGTTCAGTTCAGTTTGCTTCGGTTCAGGCCAATGTGCGAACGAATTTATTAAAATGATTATTGATGCGCTAACGGCTGCTGCGGTTTATTTATTCACAGCATACCACTATTTTTTTAATTTAATTTTCACTATTTTTTATATTTAATATTTTTAATATAAATTTTTAATATTTCTTTATTATACACTAACGTTATACAGATAAGTGAACTATATAAACATTAACACACCTAGGCATAGGTATAATTAACACTTTTACAACTAAGGCCTGGAAAATATTCGAAGCCTGTCTATGAAACTGTTGTCAAATTTTATTAAACAAAACCTTTTTAAAAAGGGTTATTCTTATTATATAATTATAGAATAAAACTTAATAATAATAATAAATAATTTATTTCGTCAAACATTAAAGTTACATTATATAATCAGTGATCGAGGACACCTAGTAAGCAAAATAATGCCTGTAACAGGTGACTTCGCTCTTCCATAGCTAAAAATTACAGTATTATTAACGAAATAAAGTAACTAATAGGGAATAATAAAGACAGTAAAAACTTGATTTTAGTATCCTATTTTTAATTTGATTTTAATATATATTATATATTATAAATTTTAAGATATTTAATAAATCAATTAATCACTACAAAGTGAATGTGTATAAGATAAGGGTGATCAAAAAGAAATGGAAAAAAAGAAATTTTATTTTTTGACGGCTCCGTGGCGTAGTGGCTGAGCAATGAGTTGCTGCCCTGGGGGCCACGGGTTCGAATCCCGCACGGAACAAGTATTTGTATAGCCTGCACATAATTTCTCCGGGTCTGGATGTTTGTCCTTATGCAATTTATGTTTCTAAACTGCCTCCTCGATACAGGAGAAAATCCTTGTGTATAATAATATTTTTTTTTTTAAAAGACTATATACTATATAGTTTTTTCATTGGTCATTGTTACTGCCGTTATGTAGACACTATTGCGTGCATATAAAATTTAAATCAGGTGCGTGCATTAACTCTGGGAGCTCGTAGCAAACTGAACGTGCGCCCAACGTGTGGACGTGACGGCCAATACTCTGCCACGACCCTTTGATCTTTTGCAAAAAACCGACACCACACGGATCTCGCGCCAACTTGTGGGCCATCGTTCCAATACATACCAACGTAGCTTAAACACCCGCTCTACACGATGGCCATCGTTGTTGGCCAACACATTTGCCAGTGTGTTGGCCAACGTGAAGAGCCGCCGTTAGATTGGCGATGGAGTGATTAGGGTGAGACCAAAACGGACGTACAGACATGAAGTACATGTATTTCCATGGAGACCAAAAACGGAATGTATTAGTGTGAGTGAAATGTGCATGTTGCGAGATGAATAGTGCTGCGCCATGCATCAACTTCAATTATCGATACAGAGTGCCCTGTCCGTGTCATAAAATTAATATTTTTATGTTTGAGGGCATAAAAATTAAACTACAAACAAACAGTTTGTGATTTTTATTTTCCACCAAGAATAATTCGTTTATTTTAAAAATGTCGTAAGCTCTCCTTAGAGGTATATTGCAATTTTGCTTCATACTTCAATGTAATAATCAAATAAGTTTCGATTATTAATTTAATAATTAAGTTTTTATGGTTTGGTATTGCTGAAGAACCATACATATGTTAGTCAAGTATGTGGAAAAAAATTTGCAGGACTCAAGGCATTCGTTTACTAATTTTCCATACATATTTTCGTTTACAATTTTCCCTTTCATATATTTTTGGAAAACTCGTTCAGAATGAATACCTTTCTCATAAACGTCTTGAGAGGGATAAACAGCAGTGCTAATACTGATGCGTTCCGACCTGTTGCATTTTATCTTAGTCCTCAGGGATGAACACACATTTGTAGCTTTCTTTGTTTGAAGCCGACTGTAAGTGACCATGTACTGCAGTAGCCATTTACCATCAAGTGATACTGTAAATTCCTTTGTTACTTGCGGTTTATAAAAAATATAAATCACAAGGATGACGACAATAAGTTGTAGACATTTGAACACGCGCAAATGAAATGAATATATGTACAGTTAAATATAAAATAAGGAACTACGCACGGGCATAAATAATGTGGGTATTGAACCAGAACGCAGCTTTACTTTTTGTGCATTTCTATGAAAAAACTTTTTTGTTCAAAGTGCTTGCTACATATAACTGAATACTTTTTGGGAACCCAGTCTTCTCTATTTATCACTTTTAACCATTTTTATTTAACCTCAATAATTTTTGGAAATCTGAAACATTATAAGAGTATAAATTATCTCATTCAAGTTTTTAGTTGAGTCTTGTGGATACCACTGTTTTTCTCGGTATTACTATTGACGCAAAACTTCAATGGGGCTCCCATATATCTAAATTAGCAAGCAGACTTAGTTCTGCAGCATATGCTGTAAGAAAGATTAGAAGTCTCACAGATGTTGAGACAGCTAGGTTAGTGTATTTTAGTTACTTTCATAGCGTAATGTCTTATGGAATTTTGCTATGGCGTAATGCGACTGATATTGAAGCTATATTTGTTTTGCAAAAGAGAGCCGTACGGGCGATTTATAATCTAAATTGTAAAGAGTCCCTTAGAGAAAAATTTAAAGAAATAAACATATTAACTTTGGCATCGCAATATATTTATGAAAATGTAATGTATGTACATAAAAACATAAATAGCTTTAATAAGAATAAGGATGTTCATACCTTAAACACTAGGAACAAACATAAGCTTGTAATGCCACTTACAAGACTCCACAGAATTAGTAATTCATTTATGGGGCAATGTATACGCTTTTACAACAGAATCCCAGAACATGTTCAAAGTTTGTCAATAAACAAGTTTAAAAGTTTTATTAAAGAAAAACTGTACAAAAAGGGTTATTATAATATCAAGGAATACATGAATGAAAATAACCCCTGGGAATAAGGTGATCGCCACCATGCTGGTTCTATGAAAATTCATTTAAAATTGTATAAACAAAATTATTGTTAAGTGAAATTATGTTTAAAAAAAAGTCCCGCTGGGTTTCTTGCTGGTTCTTCCCAGGACAGAGGTATTTTCCGAACCAGTGGTAAATAAAATAATGACTTTCAATAAGTATTATGTAATAATCCATATTGAATAAAAATCATTCTATTCTATTCTATTCTATTCTACTATAATACCATTCGGCAATAAAACCTGAAAAATTAAAAATAGAAAATTAAAAAAATTACGAATTTACAAGAGGCTGCATCAAAATATATGCGTAGCCTGTTATAAACATATTATCCTTTAGATGATATTGATAGTGTCAATTGGTGACACCAATTGACACTATCTCCACAAAAAATAGATCAGAAATAGCGGGAATTCACGTATTTGTAATATGCCGACTTCCAAAAAGGAGACGGTACTCAATTCGACTGTGTTTTTGTTTTTTTCATGTGTGTTACCTTATAACTTTTTACTGGGTGAACCGATTTCGATGATTCTTTTTTTATTTGAAATCTGGTACTTCTCGTGTTGTCGCATATGAATTTGATAAAGGTGATGATTGATAGATGATTTTTGAGTTATTCTTAATATAATTAATAGAATCAGGCGTTACTTTGCGGAAACCCATTATATAAAAGCTTTTAGAAAAATTTACTTCGCAAATATCCGCGTTATAAAATAAAATTATGTGTCTTACCTAGTATGAAGAGTACCTCCCGCTCTGCCTCAATTGCGTGCACTATCCCCGTCACCACTAATCCCAGCACCGCTACTCCCAACACCACTACACTAGGCAAGACACACCACTGACGATAATACGACACGTGTTTCGCCTCTAGACTCTACGGTGGCTAACCGCTAAGTGAGCGGCGAGCCAAAACAAGTGCCTTTTATACAGACCGATGACGCAACCGCTCTCTACTTAAGGAGCGAGTGACTGCGTCATGCGATAAAACATGCGACCAATCACCTCCGGACTTACGCAGCCATTTGTAAAATTAAAAATTAATATATAATATATAAATATCTTTAAGCCTGCTCTCTACTAATAGAGAGCCTCGCAATATGGTCGTTTGTCACCCTCACGGTGATCGGCGATTGGTTGCGTGGTTGGAGGGTGGGCGTTGCGCGGCGGTTTGTTTTTAATTTTACAAACTGCTGCGTAAGTCCGGCGGTGATAGGTCGCATGTTTTATCGCATGACGCAGTCGCTCGCTCCTTAATTAGAGAGTGGTTGCGTCATCGGTCTGTATAAAAGGCACTTGTTTTGGCCTATAGCGTGTACGTTTATTTTTTATAGAATAAGGGTGACAAATGAGCACACAACCCACCTGACGTAAGTGGTTGCTGTGGCCAATAGACATCTACATTTATATTCGTTTATGAATTAAAATGCAGATGCGTTGTCACCCGTGAGGACTAAGATAGAATGCCTCTTTTGCAATTAAAAGAGTCTCCAGATCTCTACACTCACCGTACGAAACACAGCAGCATTAAACCGCTATTTTACGCTGGTATTCTGTGAGAGCGTGGTCCTTCCCTGGTCGAGCCAACCCATTTGTGCTACAAGTCTATGGGCCACAGCAAGCACTTACCATCAGGTAGATTGTGTGCTCGTTTGTCAACCATACGACTATAAAAAAAATTATCATAGGTACCTACATAAAAAAAACTGATGAACGTTTAGTTTATTCAATACTATCCTCCTATGTCAACCCTACCAAGATAGTTAAAATTTTTGAACGCCCCTTAGAAGCTTTGCCACTGGTAGGATTTTTACTCATGTGACGCGGCACACGCAACACTCTAATTTCAAAATAAATCTAAGGTCTTAAAACATGGTAATTTTAGTCTGCTGACCACGGTAGTTTGCAATTTTCTTTTGGTAGCACTGGTTCAAGTCAATTACGCCATTATTTCAAAAGTGGGCTGCTGTTGTGCACAATGCTGTTTATGATCCCCAATCCAAGTTTGGTCAAAGTTTTCTTCTGGACCCTAAATGCAGTGTTTTCACTGCAGAGTTATATGCGGCCCTCGAGGCTCTGAAGAGGATCGCACGTATAAATAGTTTTAATATTTTTTTAACTTTAACAGGCATTTTAAGTATGGTCCAAAGTTTAACCAATCTCAGATTCACTTTAAAAAAAAACTATATTTTGTATAATATTAAAAAAATTGTTATTTAGTTATGCACAAAAGGGTATACAGGTCTCTTTCATGTGGATTTCATCACATAGGGGCATAACAGGAAATAAATAAAATTGCACGTGATGGCACCAACATGTGGGATGTTAGCTCCATAGTAAAAGTACCTTCGACCGACAGTTATCAATCTAATCACAACCAGATCAATAGTTTATGGGTCGAATTTTGGAAACAAGACCAAGAACAGAAGGGTAAATGGCATGGCAATATTAAAGAAAACCTACCTTTAGCACCATGGTATAACAAACTGAAAATGGCCAGTCGGGATTATATTACGACTATAAACAGATTGCGTTTTGGTCACTCCACCGTTCCGGCCCACCTGGCTCGGTTGGGCATAGTGGAAAGCAGCTACTGCACCTTCTTCAATAATCTATTGGTGATATCGAACATTTCATATTTATGTGTGAATGCTTTTCATTTGACAGATTGATTCTTGTCAGTGAAATTAGTGACATTGACATAGTGCAAAATTAAGTTACAGTGCAAGATCCCTCCCGCCGCCTGAGTGATATGTTAAAAAATAGATCCTATTACGTGCCTCGATATAAACTCATTAAAAATACAGTGGGGAAATTATAATAAACCGAATAAAAATACTCAAGACTTGGCCTAAAGATCTAGATACCAGGCTATAAACTTGAAAAAAAATTACACCATTACCAAAGAAAGTGTCAAGTGTCAAGGTCAACTGTCATTCGAGTTTTGGCGGGAACTTGATCGGCAACGGTTTGCTGCTCCTGTATTATAGTTTAAATAATAGTTTGAAGTGGATTTTGATATGTAAAAGTGGTGCGATTTTATGTATTAACTGTCTACACATGTGAACTATTAGTGGAAACGGTGAAACAAGTGCACTGATGGTGATGGATTCTAAAGATAAGCTGTTTGTTTGCATAGGCGCCTTTAGATACCATCGCCAACTGTCAGCTGCCTGCTGGCTCAAGTTGCCGTCAAAATCTCCCAAGTGAACTATGAAGGATAATTATACATAAAGACAAGGCTGTATGGCATAGTTCCTTTGCCTGCTCTCTCGAACGAATAATAAAACAACAACAATCAACTGTCATTCAATTGATTGGTTGTCAAGAATCAAGAACATGATTGACTTTTCATTTTCGTTTTTCTCATATAATTATATTTTGGAATCTTAATTATGTTTTCAGACATAACAGCGACGTTATAGATTCTATATTTTGTCGCTAAATTGCGTGTTCCATACTAAAAGTCACTAAAACCAGATTGCAAATGTCAATATGTCAGGATCTCGGCCTTAATTTCCAACAGAGAATGGTAAGAGTATACCATTTTACACGTCTGTAGTATTAGTCGTAAACTAATCCCTATGTGAAATATTTATACTTCTTGATAAATGCCATTTTTAGTTTAATAATGTGCCTATAGAAATGATTTGTTTTTATTTGCCTTTGGCTTGCTTTCGGTGTTGGTATGTATCTATGATACTCACGAATTGTTGGTTTCAGGGCGCAAATATATCGCAGTTAGAAAGAGATATCGGGTCAGAGCAGTTCCCACCTAATGAACATTATTTTGGTTTAGTTAATGTAAGTTACCATTTTAATTTACTATACATAAATATTAAAAATATGTTTCAGATCTGCTTAACTTAACAGTAATTGCAGCAAGAACTTGGGGAACTGATTTTATTTAACTGCAGAATAGGGTCTTTTGAGCAATCTATAATTTGAAACCCCAAAAAGTATCTAAGTCAAAAATTTAAGGAAATTAATATACCTAATAACTTTAGCCTCTCAATATATTTATGTACACAAAATTATAACAAATTAGTCTAGTTTCTAGATACTACATAGTCGACAATTCATTCTTGGGGAAGGATTTTACAACAAAATCCTAGAAAATGTAAAAGATTTGTATACTATACTAGGGTATTTATAATAATAAGGAATGTATGGGTGATAATAACCCCTGGGAACGAGGTGGTCCCAATATGATTTGTAAAGTTAAAGACTGATTGTAAACTGTTCTTTTTTTTTTCAATATTTACATACCAGTTTTAAATACCCTGTAGAAATATTCATAAAGCACCGTAAGTCCCGTTCATTAAACAGTTTAGTTATTTTTTTTTTCACTTACGAGTTAGAATATTATGAATTCATTAGCAAGATTTTTCTTTGAAATTCCTTTAAATGTCTTTAAATCTACACAATATATGCCACCATTTTAAAAAGTTAAATTTAGTGTTACCTTTTTGCTTTTATACACCGGGCTGTTTAGGGAAAAAAATAGAGATTGAAGTGTTCTTTCTTTGCAAATTGGTGTTTGTTTATTTATTTAAAATCTTTATTGCACATAAAGTGTACAATTGGCAGACTTAATGCCTTTAGGTGTTCTGTACTAGTCAAGCACGAACTAAGCAGAGAAACTTCAGCAGGTGCCATAAAAACATGAAAATAAATAAATAAATAAACAAGTATACAAATACAAATATAAAAACATTCATGACATACATATAAATAAACTTATAAATATATTATATTACTAAAAATAAACTAAATTAAGATTCATAGAGTATATTTTATACATAATTAGCTGGCCAGGCAGACGTTGTTCTGCTCTTTCATAAAAAGTATCCTATCTCTCAAGTTGGACTAAACTGCACACAGTGTGCAAAATTTCATTGAAATTAGTTCAATAGTTTAGGAGTTCATTGTGGACAAACAACGTGACACGGAAGAACAATGGCAAACTTTCATACATAAAATTACATACATAAACACTCACGCCTGTCACCCAAAGGGGTAGGCAGAGATTATGGACTTCCATTTGGCACGATCCTGACACACCTCTCTCGCTTCCTCCACATCCATATACCTACGCATAGACGCTCGTCGGTTAAAGGTACTCTTGATTTGGCTCATTTTTAATATATCGCCTATTTGGTTGATAAACTTTCGCCTAGGGCGACCCTTACCGACTATGCCGTTCACCTCTGCAACATAAATTTGCTCTGTCACTCTTTCCTCATTCATTCTTTCTACATGGCCAAACCACCGAAGCATTCCTTTCTTAATCCTGGTCACAACATCATCTTGCAAACCACACTCTTCTCTTATTAAACAATTTCTCACTCTGTCATTCAGATTCATCCCTAACATACTCCTTAATGACCGCATTTCTACAGCATTTATTCTACTCTCATGCTTCTTCTGCGAGACCCAACTTTCACTACCATACACAGTACTTGTAGTGATTAAAATTTCGAGCTAAATTATTATATGTAATTAATTACATTTTGGAATTGTCGTAATGATACTTATTTCCTAAAGAAAATATCTTCACAATTAATTTGATGTACAATAACATTAGAAATAACATATAAAAACAGAAAACTTATCACATCATATTTAGAAAATTCACTCTCACAGATGACAAATTTCAAATAGCCCCATCTCAAATTTTTTATTGTATTATTAACAGCTATCTTTAGTGCTGTACATGTTTAAACGGAACAATGTCGTTTGGTGACTGTAGTCACCATGGACAACGCAAGAATTATTTTTTTTTTACTATAGTTACCACGGACAGTTGAGTAGTTAAGCACATATTCTTTAAATTTCTTGCATTATGGATATTCAGGCAAATTAAAGACGCCACAAAAAATAGCCACCAATACTTAGTGATAATAATATTGAAAACAATATTTGAAAGGATCATAAAACTATTTAATGCAGTAAATTAAATAAATGTACATACTTATAATGTGTATTTCCAAATCAATATGTTATGTTTTAATTTGTGTTTTCACTCTTTTTTACTGTTCCCCACAATAGGTAAGATCTGATTTTTAAAATAATCAATAAAATCAGATATTACTTTACTGAAATCCATTATATTAAACACTAGGTGTTCCCCATGACATCGCTCGCATGTTATTGGGGTTTTAATTTTTTTGCGGGGAACCCAAATTTTTTTCTCTATAATAAAAGTAGCCTAAGTTACTCCTTATGACATCAGCTATCTGCCAGTGAAAATCCTGTGAAAATCGGTCCAGCCATTTCGGAGATTAGCTGGAACAAACAGACAGACAAAAATTAAAAAAAATTGTTATAACTATCATATATACTTTCATTTAGTAAAAAGCTGTAATTTTGACATTACAAACAGTTCAATTTTATTTATTTGTGTAGATAACTTTTAACATCTTTAAAAGTATTTTTTTTTTTACTATAGGACTCTTAAGCATAATGCATTTACTGCTGACACTGTCTGATAAAGTAGACAGCCTTAAATTTATCAAGAATTGCATACAAGTTTTTAAAATTCTGTTTTACAAAGGTGAAAATATTTAATTGACATAGGAATACAGATTAATTTTATAATTTTATTTTTTTTCAGTTTGGCAACACTTGCTACAGCAATTCAGTGCTGCAAGCATTGTACTTCTGTCGGCCTTTTAGGGAAAAAGTTCTAGAATATAAAGCAAAGAATAAAAGGACCAAGGAGACACTCTTAACATGCCTCGCAGATTTATTTTATAGCATTGCCACACAGAAGAAGAAAGTTGGCTCCATTGCGCCTAAAAAGTTTATTGCTAGGTTAAGAAAAGAAAAAGGTGAATATATTATAATATACGTAAAATATTTACACTATGTATGTGTAGGTGAAAAATCGAATAAAGAATATGGATCTAAAGGAGGAGAGATAGGTGTGCCAAGATCATGTCAAATTTAGGTCTGCAGTCTCTGCCTACCCTTCTGGCTGATAGGCGTGAGTGTTTATGTATATAAAATTATTCTTTATAAATCATAAACTTAATGAAAGCAACCACACTATCATCCTTATCACCAACCTGTGGTGAACTGACTGGATGGTGTGCTTGAAGTCGTGGTGTGACATGTGATTATCAAAACACACTTCTTAGAAATATGTGTTTTTGCAAAAACATTGCCTCTTGTTGAAATTTGATCTCAGGGCCGCGTCATTACAATAGGGAGGATACCTACTAAATAACTTTCTTTTTTATCTAAGCACCAAGCTGACCAGCAGGGCTAGCATAGGCAGGAGACAATTTTATCCCCGGGAAAGGAGAAAATGTTTAACCCCTCGCTTAGTTTTATCCACCCTTCGAGAATGGGTACACGGGTTGATATAATATACACAGTAGATAAAATGGTAGGAGATAGACTTAGATAGATTTTTGTTTGAATATAAACTGAACCTGTGTCCAATGAACTAGGATAAAATTGTCCCTTTCAAATGTTAAAAAAGTATAATTTTTATCTGTCATTTGGCTCCATGCTACGGACGGGGGATATATGTCTACTCTTTATGTCAAACGGGGATATACTTCTCCCAATTTTATCTCTTGTCAGTGGATATAATCGGGGGATAAGTGTTTTGTCCCCAGCCCATGCTAGCCATGTTGTAGGTGATTTTCACCCTGCTGATTACACAAATGAGGCTCTGGCAGCTGTATGGTGGCAGTGCTAGAAATTTGGTAGGTATTGTTTTAGTATCCAGTGGCTCAAGAAGTGAGGTAAAGGGTGACTGAGAGGAGACCCCATTATTGCACTTCCCATCCCATGGAAACTTATCGTCTTTTATATGCATTTTTCAGCGTCAAAGTTAATTTAGTTTACGGTGGGCATTTTTTTATAGAATAAGGATGTCAAACGAGCACACAGTCCACCTGATGGTAAGTGGTTTCTGTGGCCCATAGACGTCTACATCAATCTTCGTTTGCGAATTAAATGCAGATGCATTGTCAGCCGTGAGGACTAAGATAGAATGCCTCTCTTTCAGTAAAAAGGGTCTCCGGTTCTCTACACTCACCATACGAAACACAGCAGCATTAAGCTCCTATTTTACGGTGGTATTCTGTGAGAGCGTGGTCCTTCCCCGGTCGAACCGACCCATTCGTGCTACAATTATACTATTAATATAGCTGCAGCATGGCTCTACCACGTAAATGATAAAATATTTTCTGCAACTCCACGTCTAAGTGCGTGTTTTGCCTCTGGGCAGGAATAACCATGAAATCTGAAAGAAGCTCGGTAGACCTCCGATGTTGCCAAAAACTTCGGGGAGTGATCGTGGTGTGCGTGTGTTAAACTTCAGGGTGGGATGTTGAGGTAGGGGAGGGAGTTAGGAGCTCCAATTTTCCCCGCCGGAGATGACGGAGTTTTATTAACAGCGTGTGTGTGAGTGTGTATAGTATACTTTGGTGGGGACTACCCTGTGAGGGAGGGGGGGGGGGGGCTAAACCCCATAGTTTCTAAGAAAAAAATATCTTTATTTTATACAATTTAGTACATTGCATTGTATGCTTTATGAGCCTTGGTAGCTTTCTTTATAGAATAAGGGTGAAAAACGAGCACACAGTCTACCTGATGGTAAGTGCATGCTGTGGCCCATAGACATGTAGGTACATCTATCCTCGATTAAGAACAAAAATGCAGATGCGTTATCACCCCTGAGGCCTAAGACGGAATGACTCGTTTCCAGTAAAAGGGGTCTCCGGTTCTCTACACTTACCACACGAAACACAGCAGCATTAAGGTGCCATTTTAAGCTGGTAATTATAGAAGAAGAGCTGTATAGAATCACTTTGTAGTACATTGCGTCGTTTGTTTTATGAGCCTTGGTAGCTCTTATAGTTGAGGCATATAAAATATGCACAATGAACTACAAATTGACTGTCATTTTGATGTCAACGAAGCTAGCGAATAGGCCTACATTGTATGGAAATATTAACTGTAAAATTTAACTATCCGCCTACACACTGGAGTTAGTACAGTCAAATCTTCCAAAAACTGCGTCCTTTGGTGCTTTATTAAAAATGATAAAAAATGGTCCAATTTTTGGAATGAAGTTCTTTATACGGACAGTACGGGTTTGGCGGATAGGAGCTAGGCGACAAAAAGTGTAAGATTTTTTCGTCACTACCCCTTGTGTCATAGTGTAGACGGCCTTGGCGGCGAAATAAGGAAGTGATATGGAATAATATCCACCTCCCTCGCACTTTTTCTTATCTTGCCATGAAAGAAATATTATTTTATTTCAAATGACGCTTCATTTTAATAGATGCTAGTAATTCATTTATTTGTATTTGTTAATCAATAATATAGTACCTACGTTTATTAATGATAATATACTACGCAAGGAACTTCGTTCCAACCGAATGTTCCACGACACTCACACATTTTAATTTTGTTTTGTTTTACTATCAGTTATATTATTGTACAAATTCCCTCTATCTATTTGTTTACAGAAGAGTTTGATAATTATATGCAACAGGATGCCCACGAATTTCTTAACTTCCTTATAAATCATATAAATGAAATTATTTTAGGTAAGTTTCAATTTAAACTTTAATATTCAAAAGTCACTTTTTTTTATAGGATAAGGGTGACAAAAGAGCACACAGTCCACCTGATGGTAAGTGGTTTCTGTGGCCCATAGACATCTACATTTATCCTCGATTACGAATCAAAATGCAGATGCGTTGTCACCCGTGAGGACTAAGATGGAATGCCTCGTTTCCAATAAAAAGGGTCTCCAGTTCTCTACACTCACCATACGTAACACAGCAGCATGAAGCTGCTATTTGACGCTGGTATTCTGTGAGAGCGTGGTCCTTCCCCGGTCGAGCCGACCCAATCGTGCTACAACTATACCAGAAATATAGCTGCACCATGGCTCTACTTCTACTTCTACTACTACACTTATATCAGATTAATCAAACACAGGCACTGAAGCGTTTTTTTTCTTATAGAACAAGGGTGACAAATGAGCACACAGTCCACCTGATGGTCATCTACATACATGTCTTCGATTATTAAGAATAAAAAGGCAGATAGATGTGATGTCACCCTTGAGGTAAGATGGAATGCCTCGTATCCAGTTACCATTACAGCCTATTAAAGTCCACTGGTGAACAGTGGCCTCCCTCATAAATTTCAATAGGGGGGATATTTACTATAGTTGTCACGCTTGGCAAGCGGGTTGGCAACTGCAGTTTTTATTTTTGATTGTTATTAGGAAGACGCTGCTTCCCATCTCCTGATTTGTTTCCCTCTGTCGCCTCTTATGACACCCACGGGATGATATAGGGTAGTGGATATTCTTACACCGCCACTACATTGTACACATTCGTTTCCAGTAAAAAGTTAAAAATGCAATTTTGCCAACATATAATTTAAAATTTTTGCAATTATGACATATGCTGTTATCCAAATGGCCTGTCTGATATAACCGTTTAAAACTATATTTTTAATAAAGACACTCCCTTTGTCTTCATATTTAAAGGTTTTATATATATATTCCGCATGCATAATAACTAGTTTTGTATGTATATAAACTTAATGGGATATGTATTCATATGATACCCTAAACTGTGAACTCTTTTACAGCGGAACGAAACCAGAGTACGTTAAAACTTCAAAAGCCATCCGGCGAGGGTGTAACGTGCAACGGCACGGTACCACAGAACACAGAACCCACGTGGGTTCATGAGATATTCCAGGGCACCCTCACTAGTGAGACTAGGTGCCTCAACTGTGAAACAGTTAGCAGCAAGGATGAGCACTTCTTTGATTTACAGGTGAGGAGTGATAGCAGTATATGGTTACACCAACACAACTAAAATTGTGTTTTACTGATTTCAACAACTTTCAAGATGTATTCCCTAGGTAATGCGAGTATAAAATGTTGCTTTCTATAACCATGGAACCATTCTTATTAAGCAATTTTGCTTTTAAGTTAATCCGGCCCTGAGACCTCTACAAAGCCTACTGCTGGATATTGGCTTTTGCATACGAAGAAAGAATTTGACGTTTTACTTGACATGTTTATTAGTGATCGCAGTACAAAACGTAAAGAAGTAAAAATCGACTTAGAATTGCTAAAAAAGAAAGTTATTTATTTCCTACCCTTATGGGGTAAAAATTTGTCTCCAAATTTATATGGGATTAATTATCGCGTAACATACATTACGCGATATCTTAACAACTTACAATAAAAAATATACACTCGAATTGAGAACCTCCTCCTTTTTAAGTCGGTTAAAAAGTGCTTTTATTATTTTCGTTTAAAAAGTGCTTTTATTATTTTGTAAAATCAATTTTGAATAGAAATATTTTATTTTGACTTTGAGTCGCACTGCCGGGCACAGACCTTCGTTCATTTCTGAGGAGAGGGTTATAGAAAAATGCGCCACTTTACAATGTGATGTAATATTTGACAGATTTCATAGCGGGGGCTGTTAATTTGTTAGAAAAGAGTAGATATATTTTATATTAATTAGATTAGAAATTTATAAACCAAATTACAGATATTCCTAAAAGTAGAGGAATTAAAAAAGTTAAATATCTGTATAAAAAAAGTTAATGAAAACGGCACTGAGGCATGGCTTTGTGTATTTAATATACACTAGATACCGAAATACATTTATTTTTAACGCAACTTTTCGACGATGATGACACTGTGAGACCAATTCCGTTATAAGTAAACACCTCAGTCCCAACCAGCGACATCTGGTGTGCGTAAGATTATTAGCCCTCATTAGTCCGGAGCGCTGCTCTAGTGCTTGTTGGCGGACTTCACATGCTCTCGAAATATTTTAATTCTCAACCACGCAGATTTCCTCACGATGTTTTCATTCACCGCTGAGCACGTGATAAATCAGTAAAATTGCAATGTAAACAAAACTAGTTTTTACGGATTTTATCGCGTATATTAATTTATTTTATATTCCCGACGTTACGAACACTTTACAGCACCCATCGTCACAGGGAGGACTGGTGTGTTTGACGTCCCAATGTCATGGTTAACCACGACTACCACCAGATTAAAATTATTAATTTTTTGTCCGATGTACGCAGTATGAACTTATAGTATCTTGAAGTCTTGCAGTTGTGTGCTTGGGTTGGGATTTCATTTTATTAATTATATGATCGGCTATACATTGAAAATGGGGCAGGTTAAGAGTACCCTTAACCGACGAGTGTGCATGCGTAAATATATGGATGTAAAGAAGGCGAGAGAGGTGTGTCAGGATCGCGCCAAATGGAAGTCCGTAGTCTCTGCCTACCCCTCTGGGTGACAGGCGTGAGTGTTTGTATTTGTATTTTTGTATAATTATATGATACCAAGCAGATGGTAGCACCCAACCATCTTGTCTATTGAAATTAGGATGTTTTTTGATTTCAATAGTTTCGCGAATCATCCTTGGAAGGAATTGGTGTTCTTTAGCGAGGATTTCTGGTCTATCAAATCTAATGTAGTGACGGGGGCGATCCTGTACGTGTTCATAGACTGAAGATAAGTTAATATACGTGCTAAAATCCGTAAAACCTAGTTTTATTTAAATGTGTAGTGTTCGCGTAAATATTAGATATCATTTTCATTGGTGCCGTACCCTAGAACTACTTTTTTTCAAATTTTCCCATTATTATATTTTTTTTTAATTTCAGGTGGACGTAGGCCAAAATACAAGCATAACCCATTGCCTAAAGTGCTTCAGTGATACGGAAACCCTCTGCAACGATAACAAGTTCAAATGTGACAACTGCAGCAGCTACCAAGAGGCTCAGAAACGGATGAGGGTAAAGAAGCTGCCTCTCATCTTGGCCCTACATCTCAAACGCTTCAAGTATATGGAACAGTATAATAGGCACATCAAGGTGTCCCATCGAGTTGTCTTCCCATTGGAGTTAAGGCTTTTTAACACGGTAAGTATTTGTGCGTATTGTTGTATAACAAGAATGATGTTAGGTACTCCATTGTTGTCTGTTACAGCTTATAAAAGTCCACTGCTGAACATAGACCTCCCTCATAGATTGCCTTATAGGGGATTGCCATAGTTGACATGCTTACCAAGTGGGTTGGCAACCGGAGTTTTTTATTTGAGTTACAGGAATTTTATATATTAGTAGTATAGTTGTAGCACGAATGGGTCTGCTCGAACGGGGTAGGACCACGCTCTCACAGAATACCAGCGTAAAATATCAGCTTAACACTGCTGTTTGCTTTGCTTGCTTTCGTATGGCGAGTGTATAGAATCGGAGACCCTTTTTACTGGAAACGAGGCACTCCATCTTAGTCTACAGGGGTGACAGCGCATCTGCGTTTTGATTCTTAATCGAGGATAAATGTAGATGTCAATGGGCCACAGCATTCACTTACCACCAGGTGGACTGTGTCACCCTTTTTCTTTCTATAAAAAATAAATCAGGAAGATGACACTGCCCATCTTCTATTTCATTTGCCCTCTGTCGCCTGTTACGACACCCTCGGGACAACATGGGGATAGTGAATATTTTTACACTGCCGCTACACGGTTATGGCCGATTGTTATGTGGTAGCAAAATAAGAAAATACATGGGGTGCCATTTGAAGCATGTTTTAAAAGTTATTTATATTGCCAGTAATTCATGTTTCTTTTATAAAAAACATTTGCCAAGCAAACTGTCAAAGTCCACCTGATGATAAGCGACTACTGCAGCCTATTTGTACGTCAAACCTTAAGTCTTTACAAAAAACTAAATGTCCAGCGTCATAAAGATAAATTGAGCCATCCCAATAGTAAGACTGTTTTGTTAAAAAAAGCATATTCTGCATGAGTCCTTGTCTGTATAATCATTTATCTAAATATATAAGAGAGTCTACGAGCCTTCACATTTTTAAGAAATAACTAAACATATTTTTAAGCAAAAAATAGTATTATAATATTAACGATTATATTATGTTTGACAATTTTTAAATTTTAACTATCAAATTTATTGAATGAAACAGAACTTTATTTATGTTATTAATTTTGAGACATAATAATTTACACTCTGTTTGAATGTTATTATTTTAATTATTATATTATTATTTAGTGAATTATTAATATGTTAGTAGTGCAAATATACAAATAGGGTTATATTATTGTTACGAGCTTGGGGTTCGAGATAATTAAAAAGTGCCGATTGAATTACCAAAATTGACACTTTAATTACACAACACTAATTACAATCTAAAACCACACTAATAATAAAACACAATCACTTTAGTTCGCAGTTATTTCGCTTCGAAGTATTCTCTTGTATCGCCAATTCAATACTGCCTCGGTCGTGGTCTATACCGGCCTTATATAGGGCCTCAGATAGTTTCCAGAACCTTCTACTGTAGCGACATCTAGAATGTTCGAGTACATATCGGTCCCGAAATTTCTGGAAGGATCTTGACACTCCTAGTTCTGCTACTCGACACTAGAGGGCGCTAGTGTAACTAGTGTTGCCATGTACAAAACATTAATAGTGGCGTGCAACATTATGTTAATGTAATTATCAATATTCCATTTTAATTATAAAAAAAAAATCTTGTATTTAATTAGTTTGCACACCGGAAGGTAGCATATAGCTGTATTTTTGTTAAATTATTAAGACCTATTGTAACCCATATATCACAAACAAATAAAATTAATTTGAATATGAACACCTGCAACTAACTTCAGAACAAGTAGGCTACAGATTCGTTGTCACCTTTGAAAAATAGGAAAGCCAACTAACCTGTCCTTCAGATTGGAATAATGCACGCACTATTTGACGGAATAAATAGTTATAGATCGTCCAATTTGAAACGAGCGTGTATCCCTTATATTTTTGTACATTTTATCATTTAAAATATGCTAAAAATGCTAAAAAAATAAGCGCGCAAATTCAAATTTTAGGGTACTTAATAAGGTAAATGTGGCAAAATCTACCAAAAATACAAGGCAGGCTCGTGCAGGTTTAAACTATATAATCTCTTAAAACAGGCACTTCAATCAAATCGAATCTTAGGTAGAACGAAGGAATCCTCCCACCTAGGCGTATGCTGCATAGATCGGATCAAAAATTAATATTCAAAGACTGAAGGTGCCGCAAAAGCCGGGCAAACTATGATATCGGGACGTAAAACACCTCAACCAGGTTGAAGGAATAATATATATATATATATATATATATATATATTTTATATAATTATATGTGTATATTTTATGTATGTGTTGCATGTATATATTTGAACTGTATTATATAATGACAACTTAACTGCCCAAACTCCTCTCTGTTCTACCCAAGGTTAGCTGGTAGAGAATGCCATATAGCATTAAGCTCGCCTTTTGTACAAATATTTGGTGCAATAAAGAATAAATAAATAAATAAATAAATAAATAAATAAATAAATAATCCCAAAGTATCGTAGTTTCTATATACATACTATGTATATACTCACAGTGCCTTCCATTACAGTCTGACGATGCGGTGAACCCGGACCGTTTATACGATCTTGTAGCGGTCGTGGTGCACTGCGGCTCCGGTCCCAACCGGGGACACTACATCAGCATCGTCAAGAGCCATGGGTTTTGGCTGCTCTTCGATGACGACATGGTCGATGTGAGTGCACGTTAAATTTTAATTACACTACATTTTTTTTTTGTTCGAATAATCCCATATTTATCTCGGACTTGTAAAAAAACGCCAACTATATTACTTACATATATTATATCATGTCGTAAAAGACGACTAATGGGATATTGGGTTTGTGATTGTGTAGGCTATGGGCTAGTCATTTATGTAGAATAACGTAGGGTAGACGTGGAAATTTTCCAACTTCTCTGAATGACAAAATAGTCTGTGTATACGGACTGACAGGCGAGGCTCAAGCGATCAAATCAGTATAATTGCAAAGTCTTGTGTCCAGCTGTAAAAATTGACGGCTCCGTGGCGCAGTGGCTTAGTAATGAATTGCTGCGCTGGGGGCCGCGGGTTCGAATTCCACACGGAACAAGTATTTGGATGGCCTACAAATAATGGTTCCGGGTCTGGATGTTTGTCCTTGTGCAATTTGTGTTTGTAAACTGCCTCCACAAAACCGCTCTGCAAAACCGTGATCGATGTAATTTACTTGATTAATATGAAATTAAATTCTTTAAAAAAATATTATTCATGTAAATTATTATGATTATAATTTACTATTTTAATTTAATATTATGAATTTCGGTCACGGCTGCCTGTCTCAACAGAGACTAGCCATCTGCACAGGACAGGATTACAGTGCCCTAGCACAGGTGCACTCTCTATTCCCTTAATTTCATAGTCCGATGGACTGCAATCCGACACGACCAGAGAGAGAGAGAGAGAGATCAGGCATCACGTGCTTTCCAAGGCTCACGGATTGAAACAACTCCAAATTCTAGACTCCCAGGATCTGAACCCGGAATCTCTTGATCAGCAGCCGTGTTTACGAACACTAGACCTGCTAATCGTAGTAATATTCGAAATAAAAAAATGTAACACAGCTACTAAATAGTTACATTAAAATTTTTATCTCCTATTTTTCCACCGTTAGAGATGGAATTTTTTCTTTATATTTATATAGTAATACCTTAAATTTATATAATACTACCTCTGAAGGATAATCTATTTATTTAAAAAAAAGAATAATTTAATTGGTTCAGCTGTTTCCACAAAATTAATGTTCATACATTTAAAAAAAAACATACGCATTGGTTAAAGAACCTGCTCGTTTTTTTGAACTAAATAGTTGACATAAGTTCATGTCACACATTTAACATTACTCAATCTATACAAATAAATAAAATTGGAGTATCTGTTTGTAACGTCAAAATAACAGCTTTTCACTAAATGCATATGAAAGTATAAATGGTACTTATAATAAAAACACAGTTTTTAAAATTTTTGTCTGTCTGTCTGTTTGTTCCGGCTAATCTCCGAAACGGCTGGATCGATTTTGATGGGACTTTCACTGGCAGCCAGCTGATGTTATAAGGAGTAACTTAGGATACATTAATTTAAGAAAAACAATTAGGGTTCTGCGCAAAAAAAAACCTAAATTACACGCGGGCGAAGTCGCGGGGAACAGCTAGTTGTAGTAATATGAACAATGTCGACTTTTGTTTGTATAGTTTTCAAAAATCTAACCTTGTTTTATTGTTGCAGAAAATCGACGCATCTGCTATAGAAGACTTCTACGGCCTAACTTCTGATATACAAAAATCGTCTGAAACTGGATATATACTTTTTTATCAGTCCAGAGACGCTAGTTGTTAAGTTTGACTAAACATAGTAATTTATATATTTAAGATAGTGATCAATAGATGGTTGAACTGAAATGCCACGTTTGTTAAAGTTGAAAGGGCATATATTATTGAGATTGTTTGATTCCAATCATTATTATTATTCATTTTTAATTTTCATTCATATTGTAAATATCAATCGTTAGAATAAAGAATTGTGATTTTCTTGAAAAAAAAAAAAACAGTAGTTTTATTAAGAGTACTTTTTATATACACCACTATTATATAAGTACCATAAAAATTTATGGACAGGAGATGTTACTGTTGATAATGGCACTGTCAGAATTTTTTATTATTAATCTATCACAATGTTATCGAGATTTGTTTTTATCCAAAAATTGGCGTAATTTTATTGGCATAGTACTAAAAAATACTACACAGGACAATAACTTATCCACTTCACTCTCCCAGCATCCCAAATAACCTTAATGAACCATTCTCTTTAGAAGAATTAAAGTTAGTGCTCAGCCACCTCAAGGACTCCTCACCTGGCATTGACGGTATTCCCTATTCATTTATGGTTAATATGGGCTCTTCATGTCAACAGATCTTTCTTAACATCATTAATCAGGTTTTTACGACAGGTCCTATCCCAGATGACTGGAAAACCCATATTATTGGAAAACCCATATTATACCCATTTTAAAGCCTGGAAAAGACCCCTCTTCAGCATTAAATTACCGCCCTATTGCTATCTCATCAACCTTATCTAAAGTCATGGAACATCTCGTAAAGAATCGACTGGAGTGAATTAGAAAATAGGGGCATTCTGTCAAGGACTCAATTTGGTTTTAGAAAAGGTTTTAGCACAATGGATAGCCTTAGTATCTTAGTATCAGACATAAGACTTGCTTTTTCCAACAATGAGTATCTTGTAGGCGTCTTTGTGGATGTTCGTTCGGCCTACGATGATGTTATTCTTCCGCTGCTCAGGCAGAAAATGCAACAGCTGAACATCCCGGAGAGAATCACAAATTTCGTGTCAAACCTGCTTTCGCAGAGGCGCATATTAGTTCGCTCTGAAGGCAAGCTCACATCACCTAGACCTGTCTGGAAGGGATTACCTCAAGGCTCAGTTCTGAGCCCCTTGTTATACAGCCTTTATACATATGAACTTGATAGATCTGTAAACTACTTAGCTAATGTCCTACAGTATGCTGATGACTTAGTCTTATATGCATCCGACATTTCCTTTGACCAAGCAATCTCCCGTCTATCCCAAGCAGTTAAATTCCTCAACTTTTGGCTTATAGAACATGGTTTGTCCATTTCAGCTAGTAAGAGTAACTCAGTAGTATTTACTAGACGAAGGTTTTCCCCAGATGTGCCTATCCATATTGATGACTCTCTTCTCTTATACTGCTGCTAAATGTGAAAAAAATTTAAATGTCATCCGATCTCTATCAGGCTCCTGGTGGGGCTCCCATCCTTATTCCCAAAAGCTTTTATATAATGCATTAATAAGAAGCCATTTCGACTATGGTTGTTTTTTACTGGAGCCATGTAGTAAAATGGCACTTAACATACTGGACAAAATCCAGTCAAAATGTCTCAGAATCATAACAGGAGCAATGAAATCTACTCCTATCCTCGCTCTCCAAGTGGAATGTGTCGAGCCTCCTCTTTTTCTCCGAAGACAGTATTTATCAGACAGATTTTTATTTAAAGCTGCCTGTTATTCGCACGATCCTCTCCTATCCAAACTACATTCCCTTAACCAGTTAGTCAAGCGATCCCAATATTGGTCACATAAGGATTTGCCATGCATTATAAAAAGCTATTCCAAACTTGTCAATCTTCCTTCTCCAATCTCCAAGTCACTTAGGAACCCTCTCTACAATATTCCCTATGAGGCCCTAATATATAAGCCAGACATATTTTTAAATATTGGCATTTATAAGGACAGCACTGAACCAAATATTAAATTAAACATGATTCTAGCTGAAAAGTGGGTTGACTGGGTGATTATGTTCACAGATGCCTCAAAGGTCAGCGAAAAAGGTTTAGTAGGATGCGCAGTGTGGATACCTAAATATAAAATTATTTTAAATTTTAATTCCCCTTCTGACTCTTCTGTATTCACAGGTGAGTCATTGGCTATATTAGAGGCAGTTTTGTATGCTGAATCTCACAGCCTGAAAAAAACTCTCATATTATCAGATTCCCTTAGCTGCTTACAAAGTATTGCTTCCAGCCCATTTCAATTAAAAGTAAAATACCCATTAATTTTAAATATCAGAGAGTCTCTATTCAAATGTCATAAAAAGGGACTAAGGATTGTCTTGGCGTGGATACCTGCTCACTGTGGGATTCAGGGCAACGAGGTTGCTGATCGGATAGCTAAAGAAGCAGCTAAATCTGGATTACTACCCAAACACAATATTTACTCATATGACCTCCTGTCGAAGGCTAACTTAAGTTTACACTCCTCATGGCAAACCATTTGACATCAGTCAAAACTTATAAAATGTAAAAATTATGCTAATGTCCAAAATAATATCCCCCTAAAACCTTGGTTCTTTAAAACCCGTCACTTTAGTAAAGTGATTACCTCAACTGTTTGCCGTCTCCGATTCGGTCACACCTGCACACCTGTACACCTAGCTAAATTAAGGATTAGGGATACGTCAATCTGTGAATGTGGGTTAGGCGAAGGAACAGTTAACCACCTGTTTTTTGAGTGCCCCAAGGTCTCCTTCTCCTTTTATGATATACTCCCTAACTACATCCCTCGTCCTACTAATTTCTCATACTTACTGTCCCTTGTGTTTACTCCCTTTGTAAATATTTTGTGTGATTATATTAGAACTAATAAAATTAAGTTGTAAGATTACTAACATGGTGATGGTTATAAACTTGTGGCGTCTTTTGTTGTAGATTGTGAAGACCTACACAAACAATAATAACTTGTAACTATTGTAAACACTCTCTTGTCACTCCCATGACTGACTTGACATTGGCAGAATTCTAAAAAGAGGGGCCATAAAACTAAGAAAGAAGAAGAAGAAGAACTTATCCACTTCATTCGTAAGACCCTTCCGTTCCATCTCCCACCATTAGTACAGTACCCTACGTCAGAACAACTTTCTCACTCGTCGTCACAGAGTACATTGTATATAGGGAATAGAGTCATCACTTAGAATCGTAGCATTAGCGCCATCTATCGATATACGACGTCCCTACAGCCCAGCGACGACGTAGGATGCTCTATATTACAATATTTATTATTTATTTTCAAAGTAATTTCCAAAAGTCAAACCATTTTAATATTGATTTGGCTTTTGGAAATTACTTTGTATTGGAGGTGGGCAAAGTGTATCATTTTTGGGATTGGAACATTTGCATCTTGATCACTGAAATGTTCCGAAACACTGATATGTTTCATTTGGCTCATTTGTATCATCGCCTCAAAAGATATAAAAGAAAGAATGTTCCGAATAGGTACATTAAATTGCGTCGCGGGCGTTTATTACTGACTGATCCGTGAAATATTATGTGGCAACCATGCTGAATAATATAAGTGCTTAGATTATTTATTGTGTACCGTAATAAGATTGTATATAAAATCGATTCTCCTTCATACTTTAACAAAAATGTCACTATGTCAATTCATTATTTACAAAAATGTCCATTTACACAAAACAGCAATGTCTATGTACACAGAATTTACTCGTAAAGTATCATAACTCTAAACTTTACGATGAAAAGGAAGAAAATAAAGTCACAATAATCACTACGCAAAGAAATCCTAAACATAACTCAGTATGTTTTCGTAAACAGGCGCTAATGAATATAAACAATTTGACATGTGCCGCATCAACGTAAAATGTCAACTTTTTAATGCAAACGTTACATACAAAAAAGGACCGTATAGTATTTGACACATAATCGCCTTAGTGGTAAATTTTACGTGCATGAATAACGTCAGCGAAAATCCGTACGAGTTGAGGATACACTTCTTATTTGTTATCTCTATCTGACTTGTGTGGATTATAATTATTTCGCCCGCTCACTCGCCACTCGTGAGTCAATAGTTAAGTTAATCATTGTCTCAGTCTCTCTCTCTCGCTCGTGGCTCAGTCGCCTCGCAAGCGACGCGTCGCGCGAAATGAGCAAAGAGCAAAGTAATGTTTCACTGTTCCAGATACAAATGATACATTTGAAACGTTGTTACTGAACCAATCTTTTGTGTCACTTCAGTGATTCGTATCAGTGAGTCGTTTCCGTAAAGAGATACACACGCCTACTTTGTATACAATATAATTTAGGCAAATAAAACAACTGTTTAAAGGTTGGATGATGCTTTTTTATAATGCTTCCTTTTATTATAATAGTACACAACAACTTCTCTCAAAAGAAGCCACAATCCAGGTCAACAGAGCACAAATAGTTAAGCAAATCAGGGTCCAGAGTTTCATGCGTAAGTGCAACGAAAAAGGCGAAGTCTTCGGAGTCCGGGGATCAAGCAAAGTTGTTAAAGTCTTATAAACACAAACAGAGCATATTTACAAATCACGAAAGGAAATGTAATGACAAACAGACAAATTAAATTACGTTAAATGAAGTTACAATTAGTTTTACACTCAAACTACTAGTTTTAGTTTCTTTTGTTTTTAATTATTGTATTTGTATCTATAAAATAAAATATAAATTATAAATGACATTTGTAACATTGACAGACCGAAATGACCATAGATCTCTCCCTCCGGCTCTTGCCATAGATAAACGGAGAAAACAATTTGGAACGGCGAAATCATAATAATTCACTTGAATAAATGTAAAATAAATAAATTACACTAAAAAATTAATTGTAAATTTGTTTTGTAACAAAATAGTAAGTTAGCAAGGTTCGATTTTATTTTGAACTATTCATTAATTTGTTTGATTCTTAATTAGCCTAGCATGGCTAAATTAAAAAAAGCGACATCTGCTGCAATATGGAAAAACTGTCATGACATATTAATACCTCTAAGA